AATTTTCTTTTTAGCGGCCTGAGGTCTTTTAATCGAAGCGGTCTTTTATTTCTAGAACATTGTCGAAAATTCGATGGAGTCTTGTAATAGTAGAAGGTCTTCTATTCGTAAAAACCCGTTAGTTAAAATTTTGAGTTTTCACCTTTAGAGGTCAAATAATGTGTGTTTTATATTAGCCCTCTCATTTAGCCTTTTCAATGTAGCTTTGTTGCCCAGATATGTTGATATGGGCTCGTAACTACCTGTCGCGTAGCCAAGCAGTGATTGCAGCTAAAGTATCGAGTAAACGACTCACCATCCGCGGCACTTCACCAAACCCCCACTCCTCCACAGCAAGAAAGCCTCTATCATTGCCCCATTTGTCTTTGATGCTGAGTTTGGGAGTCGCGGTGCTTGTGCTAAAGTCATCCCCCGACTACACACGGCAGCTTCGTCATATTGCGCTTAGCAGTCTAATAGTACTCAATGAAAGTGGAGGGATAACATCAAAAAAGGATGTGGCAGAATTAGTGATGAAGTGGAGCGATATTTTGCGTCGTGGTGGCTTGGGAGCAGCGCAGGACGAGCTAGTGGAGCGTTTAGTAAGCTGTATCTTGAATCTATCCAATCACAAGCAGAAGCAGGAAACACTGCTCTTTTTTATCGACAAGGGTTTATTACAATTACTGGTTCAGTACGTTGCGTGGAGCAAACCCAAGGATCCTGCGAGACTACAACGTAGGTTGAGTTAACCCTTGTTTATAATTATCCAATTGACAAACGTTTTGACTTGTTAGGATTAATACAAAGTCTTACGATACTAGTAAATGCTGCTGCACTTGAGGAAAGAGTGAACTTTCGGCTGTCACTTGTGACACTTGGTCAGGCACTTGGCCATCTCATGAGACAAGACGTTGTTGAATACAAAACTCTTGTGCAAGTCGTTGATGCTTTGATGAACGTGCAGCAACTGGCCTCTGAAAGGATGGAAGAGGAAGCTGACGCTACTCGTGCCATTGTGGTTCATAGATCGGACCTTGCTGATCCGGACACTTCGCGAGTGGCATCATGCTGCTCTGCATTAGTTGAGATGTGCTCCCCACAGATGCCTACTTCAATAAAGAATGCTGGATTATGGGCGCTAGCTGAACTAATACAAGCGGTGGCACAAGAAAAGCCTAGTGCCCTTCATGCTCAGCAGCTGAAAGCAGCTCTAGGACCTGAATTTGCAACAATGATGCTATCCTTTCCACGTAATCACAAAGACTTAACCTTGCAAATTAGAGCCTCCACTGTACTGGACAGCTTACTTCATGTTGCTCGACAGAATTCAGCGTTTGTGACTCGTGAGACATACCAACTCTGGATGGATCAAGTTAGATTTTGGACAGGCACGGAAGAAACCAAAAGAAAACAACAGTCTGTTAAAGGATCACCTCAACAAAATTTTGTTCATGTCGATCACAATAAGAAGAATGACGTTCAAAAGCTCAGGCAGAAACTTTACGTTCAACTTCAACTGACTAGTTCACGGTGTTTACGTACGCTCACATCATCTCCACAAACCAGACGCTACGTTTGCGAATCACCAAGGACACGAGCAGCTCTTTTTAACTTGTCCCGCCAAATTCATGAGAAAAGAAGAAACTGCTTCGACCAAGTCAATCAGGATACGGCGAAAAACTTCATGAATATTCAGCGGAACCTATCATGGGCATTTTGCAATATCTGCACAGGGTTTCAAAATGGCGCCATTGCGCTCGACTGCTTGTATAACGCGTCCTGGACTGCATCTCTTTTGCAATCGCGTCGACTTTTACCGATGTCGCGCTTTTTTCGCAGAATCAACGATCTAACGGATTTGCCAATCGCAGGGGCAGAAGAATACGAAGCTGATACTGAGTTTGGCTGGGTCGACATTTTAACGGCATGGACAGCGAGCACAGATCACCAAGTGCGCAAGAATGCCATTGCCACTTTAGTATTTCTCGCTGAACAAGACCAATACTTTACTTTGGACTGCAGCTTAGCGGAAATGGAAGCAATTTGCTCTAAGCAGGGGCAAATTCTTCAGGCGTGGCTAACTTATATGCTCCAGCGAATTCGATTACTCACGGGTGGTGAATTGCTTGCTGTGAATCAAATGGAGGAGATTGCTAATGTATCGTATGAGCTTACTCCTGGCAACGAGCAGATTTTATTCAATCCCGCTGTAGTCGATGCAGGCACATCAGCTCTTGCAGTATTAGCGGAGCTCCATCATGTTGAGCTTGTCCACCAAGGAGTCGTTCCACTAATCGCTTTGTTGTCTACAACCAGCGAAGCGACACCAGCGCAGCACTCTCAATGTGCTCGGGTGCTAGCCAACCTGGTTGCATCTTATTGTCTCGATATTGAGTCCGGAAGCCCAACGCTTGCGTCGGATCCGACTCGCGTAGTTGTTACGAGCGACTATGCCGACATTGCTAAGTTGCTTAAACAAACGGCTTCTGGAAAACGTTTTTTGGACAAAGTAAATTGCTGGCGCGAATGCAATGATCCAATGCAGCGCTCAAATTACTTTCGCGTCGTGCAAAACCTTCGAGCATACGATGAAGTCATGGCAACCGGGCATCTGTTACAGGACGTATATTGTGAAGGCGTGCATCCGATCGTTCCGAATCGCAACTCTAAATCAATATATCAAACTGCAGATGTTGACGAATCAGCCTCCTTGGTAGATGTGGTATTCGTGCATGGATTACGTGGTCATCCTTTTCGCACGTGGCGCATTGGTATGGAAGGGAGAAACGAGATGTGGCCAGATACACTACTTGCCAGAGACCTGGAGCGCAACAACGTGTCTGCTCGGTTAGTGACACTAGGCTATGAAGCAGGCATGGTAAGCTGGTCAAGTCCTTGGCCTTCGCTTACTCTAAAAGAGCGCGCACGTGTCATGCTTTCGGCTTTGTATGCTGCCAATATTGGACGCGATCGTCGTAACCCTGGGGCTTCCGCTCGCCCGGTTGTCTTCATCACTCATTCAATGGGTGGCTTGTTGACCAAAACTATGCTATTACTTGAGCGTGAACATCGTGAACAGGGTGTTTCAAGTCTGGCATATAATACGAAAGGTGTCGTTTTCCTAGCTGTTCCGCATTTTGGATCTGATTTAGCTAAAGGCACGCAATCCGAAGCTATTCGTAAAGTAATCCGAATGCATCCAGCTATTGAAGACCTTGGAGCTGATCCAAACGGACGTCTTAAGGATCTGAATGATGGTTTTAAGCAGCTTGGTATCGACTGCTTTAGTATCGGGGAGGAGCGTGCAGCACCAGTGGCCCTTGGTTATTCAGCAGTCATCGTAAAGCCCGACTCTGCTAACCCAGGAATTGGTCGCTTTTATGTGTTGCCCGATAGCGATCACATGACAATTTGTAAAGCGAAAAGCCGCGACGACCCATTATATCAAGATATTCTTAGGTACGTTATTGAGCATGCCGGAGGTTGACTCGCTTCCTGCATTATGTGCTCTTTTTAGCCGAGATTTGAAAGCAGTAGTCACATGTGACACAATGCGATGCCAAATCGGGTAACTCGTCGGAAACAATATAGCTCCCAGAGTTACTACTGTCTGCGAAGAGAAAGTCTTTCTCTGGCTTGTCAATATACCATGAATATTATTTTTTATGGACCACGATGGCGGTTACAATATTCGTAAACATGTTGATCAATAAAAGCGTTAGTAAAAATCGAAACATCATTTGAAAACTTTTCTCGCGTTGAAACAGTGACATCTCTTCTGTGTCGGAGAGGGCTGTACGAGCAGCACTATGCGTCAAACCCTGCCATGGTTAAACAACATGTTGGCTGTTTTACCACCAATATCGTTCTCATACTCAGATTCGTCACAGTTAAAATATCAGAATCTCGTGAACTGTCGAAGAAGTACGCAACACTGCTGCCGTACATTTTACCCGTCACCTGGTGCACCGAGGACGACGACAAGAGCCAAATTTGGACCATCATCACACTGATTGACCTACAGAAATGTCTTATCCCATGAGCGGCTACAGAAAAGACTGGTAGGCCCAGACGCACAAGTGCAGGAATAAATTGATGGCATATTCGTCGTCTATCACGCCAAGAAGTACCCTATCTGGCGTCACCCACAGACTGGTCGTTTTGTGCAGCAAGTTGAACGCTGTTTCCGATTAATGGATGCCATCAAAGCTCGTTGTAGGTTAGCGGTAGTATCACCGCGTGGCTTCAATTTGTCTCTGCCACGTTGGCAGGCTTGCGGACTCTAAATTCAAGCAGAGCGATTAGTGTTCTTTCGCGTTAAGCTTAGAGAACACGAAGCCACTACTGAGTCAAATATAGATCAGCCAGAACTTCTCACACTTTCGAGATATGACATTCAAAAACTTGGCACGGTGCTGACAGTACATGTACAGCTGCTGCAACAAATGCTTGCTATGATGGCAAGATGATGCGTTCAAAGAAATCTTACAAGAGCAACAATTTAAGTGGCGGAAAGCTGCTGCTAAAAAACTAAAGGCGCCACAAGTGTGATCTCTACAAAAAATTTCAAGTTGCATCACAGGCATGTTAAGAAATACTAAACATATTCGGTACGTGCCATGTTGGCCTACGACGATTTTTGTGGTGACAAAGGGAACGCAACAGACAAAGCTATTCAGTGACGTAGGCTTTGCTCTTTGGCAAACATTATACGAAGCTGCCATGGCCTTGCGCTATCTTCGTGATCAGCAGATAAGGTTTGAAGCTTCCTAGTGTACTGATTCGATTCTATACCGCGGCGGGGATAAAGATGCGGTTACGTTAGCTAAATCCCATGAAGTCTGTGTCAGAATTGTGCGTTCGCAGTGACAAGGTGTTAAAAATTAAAATATGCTGAGCCTGTCACAATAGAAGCGTCCGCTTCAGTAGCGGGATCCGCCGAGCCGAAGTAAAATTCCACACGAGAGTCTAAGACCAAACATGTATACAAGCGCAGAAGGACCGCCCTATGAGCAGCCTCCAGCTGCTACTCCTGTGCCTTGTCGAAGCGATTGGTAATGATACCACTTCCACCAGAAGTTGAGAAGTCGGGAAACGGACACGGTGTCCGCAAGGTTCGAGCAGGGCTCACGTCGCGCCGTTGGTGCACCTCGCCATCCTCTTCTTTCGATTCTGAAAAGGAGTATCCGACTCGTATTCGACTTTCCCAAATCCTCAACAGGGTAATCCGTCGCCTGTGGCGGGTGCGGTGTGCGGTGCTCGGTTGCCGAGCCCTTAAGATACGTATCCCTTGAAACCGCGGACGTACCGTCCGAATTTGCACCTTGTGCTGGAGACGATGAAGGGCTCTGCACGCGGGCACTCTCGGAACCAGCGAGGCTAGGTGTCGTTCGTTTCCTAGACATAAGGCTCATTGAGCAGCTAATGCGTGCAGAAGGTTCTGAGAACGTAAAGGTGTCTTAGACACGCGAGCTTCGTACGAAACGACAGTGGAATGTGAATTGTGGGTATTTACAATTTTAGTGAGTGTCACGGGAATACATGTACCCTGGTACGAAGAACTGGGTCACGCAAGATGGTGTGATCGCACAATGGTGTGGTTACACCTTAACAAGAAACCACTACGTGGTGGGACTGCCAATAGTTATGCATATCTATATAATTAAAAAATACTTTAGGTTTAGAAATAGGCGGCTCTGCCGCAGGAAATACAATTTGGAGTTTGAACGGAAGAGTGTATTTGCCTTAGGTTAATAGGTTTTGGGTACTCTTGAAGCTAGCAGATTGCGATCCGTTACACTCATACTGATTTTATTATAGAACGTAAGGTCGGTGACCTTAGCTTAACTTCTTCTAAGCGAAGAGCAACGGCAGCCTCGCTGCAGTTACGGCAGCCGTACCAGCAAGTGCAACGAGTGGCAGCTGCTCGCCTGCTAGAAGTGAAACCGCAAATATTTTTATCATAATGTGCTGAGTAATTTTCTCCGCTATTACAAAATAGCATATATCGAAAAAATACTAATAGTATAAGTTTGACAATATCTCACAATAAATTGTATTATGTTTCTGACGTGCGGCCTGCGGCACGTATGTACCACAGACTTCTACCATAGAAGTTTCATTTCCACTAGAGAGCACGCTGGTGACACTCTACAAGCAAGTTCCAAATCTAGCTAGCTCAATCTCAGGATCACGCCTAGTCTGTAGGAGGGAGTAGACGTGCCCGTACGAACAAGTAAGCTCACAAAAGCTGGTCGCGGTAGTGTCGGACCTCGCCGGCACTGATCGGTTGATCACCTTCACGTGGAACATTCGGTGAGCCAGTCGATACAACAAAGCTGTTGTCAGTATCTAGTAAAGAGGTATGGATACCCGCGTTTGGAAAAATTCATCGAATTTCTAGCAACATTGCCCGGGTCTCGTAGTCGCTTCCGAACTGGCTCACTCTCATTCTTCAATTTCCTTGGAGTAGAGGCAGAACGGCTCGTAGCAGCGAGCTTCCTACTCGCAAAACGGGACGAACTTGTCGTAAGCTCGACATTCCGTCAGATGCTATTATGCTGCCTCGTGAAGATGAGCGAATGATAATATCAGCAAGAAGTGGAGGTAATTAGTGACCTCCTCGACAATCGCGTCGTGCTTTATAATTTGCTGAGTTGAGCACCGCCGGCGCTATATTTAGATGCCTGCTTTGCTGAAGCTGACCTGTAAGGCCGGCGGTGTTTTTTTCCACCCAGTGCAAAAACTACTCATATTTATCGGTAATTTTGCCAATTGCTAGTGCTTATGATACGTAGATACGGATTTTTTTCAACCGCAGCTGCTCTAAAGATAGGAGGTTATCATGTGAAGAGATGGCTAGGGGGTCAAGAAAGCGCTCATGCGCGACTTTTTCGTGCTCGTCTTAGTTTTGCTCAAATCGAAGAGTTTGAACACATAAGGCTGTAGGGCTCCACATCAGCGTGGTGGGCGCTTTCAGGGGATATAGATTTGTAATCACAGCTTGGTGATTATAGCAAGGTTGTTGTGACTCTTGTGCATCAAATAGTGCAAGCTGAGGCTAATAAGCCAAGCCCACTCGTGTACATGCCGGACATTGTCGTGGAGTTCATGACGAAATAACGCACAATTTCTTAGCGAGGGACAAAGGCACGTAGTACGAGACTTGGGTATAGGGAAGGCAAAGTGCAGTGAACACCTTCTCCTCTGGGTCCAGCTAGGCCGTGTGTCGCTGGATAAGGGCGAAGGGGTTTGATAACTGGAACTCAGAAATTAATATGATCGTTTTTATCAGAGAAAACTCTGGCACCTTCATCAAGACTTTCTTACAGAGCGTCGGTAGAGAGGACAGCGGTTTTAGTGGGTATACATCCTGACGCGCTTTATTGAGCTCCCAGGCAAGTATGATCTGAATAGCGGGCTTCATTCGTGTAAAAAGTGTTGCGTTAGACTTCAGGCGCAGGAATTGTTCTTAGAGTCACTTTGGTAAACTTTGTAGGTGCAGTGCTGCGGAATTTTCTTGAGAAGATTGAGTACAGCCGATCTTATTTTTGCTATATCTTCTGTATGAGAGGCAGCACCTTTGTCCTGTTGTTTCTCCTTAATCCATCCAATATTGCTTCTGTCGCAAGTAATATCTCTCGCAACTCATGGTGTGACTGAAAGCCTCAGAAGTTCCGACTTTTTGTTTCATTGCAGATTGTGTTTAGAATCTGTATTGTCTCAATAACTTAAGCATGCTAGAAATGCTTGCTTCTGCATCGAAGCAACGAGATAACGAAAGACACTGCATTGCTTTGGAAAGAGCAATCGCTACTTGCTCATTTATATCATAAACGCTCATCCGATCGCAAGCTGGTCTGTGGATTTGTATTATTGTTTCAGCCCACCTCACAATCACCTCTTCTATATCTGACTCTACATCACAGGCTTGAGCGCGAGGAACCAAGAAATTCTCGAGCTCATTCTAAGCCACTTTGGCTTCAAGAAATTCCCGAGTGGCTAACTGGATTTGCAGCACCCATTTTTGGAGTCCTGATTGGAGTGTGGGTAATGATTGCAGACGAATGAAATGATCAGCAGTATGTCCCTGATGATGTGCCTTGATAGTCAATGCGAAAGCATCGATTGTCTTTTATCCAGTGGCTGATAAATGATCGCCAAAACTTGCCAAGACATAATAGAAAATTAGTGTCAATGCAAGCTTAATTCCTTAAACACAATTAACGTATTAGCCAATATGTTCTCGTGCAAAAGTGTTGATAATCTACCTGGAAAGCGAGCCTCAAATTCTCGAAAATGGCAACAGACCGGACTCCATCTACCTCCACGCACTTGAAATCTGCGTTCCATAGAGATTACCACCACTTCGCCGGTAAAGCTGACCCAACTAAAGGACGTTCTTGTGTGTTTTCTGTCTTAGGTCATAGTCAGTGCAATCACCAACAAACTTTCACAGCAATTCAAAGAGATAAGGATGCAGCCCATTCGTTTTGACGCTCAATTAAGATGACAAAGTGTCCATATACAACCAGCATCATAATCATTCCAACTGCACCACGCAGCCAGATCTTCCAGCAATTCATGACTGGTGCCATTATGAAGCGTTTCTGGCACAAAAACACTCCACAAAATGCGGAAGTCATGACGATTTCTCAAAGCTTATATGAAAAAGCCGAGACAACCTCTTCTTCGACATTGTCTTCTTCTAAAAAGTAACTGATTATCCATCAGTTTTCTCAATCCTCCTCCATGTCTGCTACTTCATGGTCAATGAACACTTTTCTGCTTCGTCGCCGCATTTATGAATTCTCGAAGGTTGAAGCGCTTACCAGACTGTTTGCTTTCAATGACCGATTTGGGAGCGATCAACTTCGGTCTTCTACACAAGAAAACAAACTTGTATCTCCTTTTTCGCTGCAAATTAAGCTAACAACAGACTGGAACAACATATATCATAGATTTGAGGCAGACGCCAATTAAATTAAGGAACAGATCACCAACCTAATCTATAAAAAAGCTCTACGAACTGCAACATTCCTACAGAAGTTCACGTGGCCATTTTGTCGTAGTCAGCTGCAAAACGTTTCGCGCATGCTTCACACTCATCATTGCGGGGATGTAAAAAAGAAGAGTGCAGTATGGTAATCTCAGATGCTTAGTGACATCTTATATGAAGTCACAAACATTATGTGTGGTACAGATTGCTGGTTCCCACTCGAAGGTATGTATTAGCGACGAGACTGACGTGTCTCTGTCATTCAAAGTGGATGGGGTAAGCCAGTCATCTCTATTGGGTTGTATACTTCCACGAAAGATGGAGTTTAATTTTTTCGAAGTTCAAGCTGAGGTTCAACCTCAGCACACCCATGATTTAAAAAATCAGATTCATAGGAGCCCAAGGTTTCATTAGTATGACCTCTTTGCCCTGGGGATTCTTTGCATGTACCCAGGAACCGTCAACTCATCTTGATTCAGTTGCAACTTTACCTTTAAGATCTCAAGTCGTTACTCTTCCCTTCATGTCAGAACTGTCCTTCGACCCCCTCGGCATAATCACGTCCTTATAGCAAAAGCGTATGCATTGTGATTGAGAATTTGTTGTGAACAGCACCCTCTTACAAATTTGGGCAAAGCATGGGGATAAATTGAATCGCGGACTTAATTTGACAGTGGACTGTGCATCTAACAGTTGTCATTCCAAAGACATAAACTTCTGTGCGCAAATAGGTATTATAATTGCACCAGTTCAACTGTTTTCGAGAGCTTATTGCCAAAAACACATATAGTCGAATTGCGCTTGATGCTGACTATATCTGACTCGATTGTGCCATGCATGCGCATGGTGATTCCTAAAGGGGCTGTACAGGGATGTCATGGACATTCTTTAAATGGAACGTGCTGTTTTGGATCACAGCAAAACATTGATAACATCATAAAAAAGACGAATAAATGATGGACGCCAATCACACGAGGCAAACAGGGTTTCCGTAAGCTTTGCAGTGGGAAGCTTGGACTCTGGAGGTCAATGTTAGCAAGTGCACAGACATTGGATTTGTGCACCGAGAGTGCGGCGGGGCTGCCGTAGCTTTGCGCTTTAAGCGCATATATTGGCTATAATTACTCCAAGAGTAATTACAGCCTTAACTCAAGGCTAATTAACTCTTCGGTTTAACTTCAAAACTTTATTTATTTATTTTTATCCGCGGCATGGCCGCCTAATTTAAATGCATAGCTTTTCCTAAATATGTATAGTAAAATTTTAATACATGTATAAATACTGGCTATCCGGCCCCGTACCGTATTCTTGGTTGGGTGTGGTCACCCATGGTTCATATGGTAGCGGACATCTTAACTCTACAACTGTCTCAATTGGTTTTTGCAGGTTTAGG